TGGGGGGTCTTGCATGCTTGATTGCTTTTCTCTCCCCCCCCCCGGCCAGAAGGGATTAATCACATTTCCAACGAGTCTTGCAGAGATTTTTTGTATGTGATTTTTTTCTTCAGCTGGAATGGATTAATTGCATTTCGATACAGTACATTCCTAATAGGAAGGTGTAGTTGCAAACATGATTTCCTACTGCTATTTAGTTGGTCACTGTGTCAAAAGCAGTTGTTGAACTCTTGGCCAGCATGACTCTTATTCTGTACTTAATGCTTACATATCCCAGAAAGCAGCCTCATGGAAACAGAATCACTAAATGGCAGGCTAGATTTGGCTGTTGAGGGTTTTAAAACTGTCTTGCAAATGCATCTGCAAATGTTACTAGACCACCTGCAGATACACATTATATTAGCCTTCTGTGGAACATCAAAGGCTGAAAGAGAAAGGAACAACCTCCTCGTCTTATTTAGAAAACAAGGGCCTGCTAACAATTCCATCCCTACATCTATGTCAAATGAACATCCTGCCATCTTCACTGAATTATCAGACATGTCAAACAGTGTAAACTGCCCCTGAAAGAAAATAAAACTCTAAAATTACGCAGAAAGTAAATGAAAAGAGGACCCATCACCTTGAATTTTAAGTGCTTTTAAAATAAACTAACAGTCTATTATACAATATAAAGTCTGTTCGTACCCACTTCAAAACATACCTTTTGTTTCTCATAAATGGTTTAATGCTTATGCATAAAGAAAAGTTTAAAAAACTGAAAAAATACAATGAAATTCATCAAAATCATTTCACAACATTTTTAAATAAGGATTTTTTAAAAATCTACATTTCTCAATAAACTACATCAAATCCCATGGGGTATTGCAAAACAAAGATAGTACAGGACTTGGAACACGATGTCAGTCTGCTCTAGAATCCTTTCAATCTTCCGTGCTGTCTTCAGTACTTATAAGACTATGAACATGCATAATTTTGCTACACATGCAGCCCCATAATTGCGCAGATA